AGGAATGCTCCTGTGTCCTCTTTTCCTGACTTTTTGGTTGTTGCGAACGTGAAATGATAAAGTCTGCTGCATCTCGGGCTGGTGGAGCTGGCACGTGGAGTTAAGCAGAGCCTGGGACTCTTTGTGTTGCAAGGCCTAGCTCTGAGTGTAGGTAACAGACCAAAAAATGGCATCTTAAATGGGTGCCAGGCTGTCCTTTGGGAAGCTCGAGGAGTTTAGCGAAGTATCCTATGGGCTGGATGCTGAAATAGATAAACTTGATTAAGCACGAGATGATTTTTTTTTTTTGTTATAGTCCTTAATATGAAATCGTCTCTTGGGTTTTACTCTAGGATTTCAGCGTGTGTCTTAACTTGTAGAGAGGCAGAGAGAAGAATCCTCTGTGCGTAAGCATGAGAGGAGAGGGCCTTGCTCTGGCACTGCTATTTTGCTGTATTTTGACTTTCTGGTGGTGAAGTTCAGCTGTGGTCAGGCAGCCTGCGAATGGGCTGAGTCAGGCTGGCTTTGGCAAGGGAAAAGAACAAAATTCCAGGCAGGGAAGATGGGAGAAGGCAGCTGTGCCTGGAATCGGCTGACCGTGTGGGTAGAGCAGCTTCGAACTGTTGGCTTTATCCAGCAAGCAGAAAACTAGGGTGGAAATACAAATTAAGCTATTTAAAGACATGGGGAAATTCCTTATAAACTGGTTTTATTTTAAATGTTCAAGTCTGCTTCTGTGTATGGGGGTCTACTGCTAGCTCCGCAGTTGTGTGTCCGGGAGAAGCAAAAGGAGCTCCCTGTGCTCCGTTTTCCTGCTTCCCTGCAGTCCCGGCACAGCTTGTGTGGCCGGGGCCGCGGGGGGCTGCGTGGCCTCCTCTCCTTGGAGGCCTTTCCTTTTATTTGCTTGCACTAAAAGTGATCTTTGGGATTAATGTTTTTAAAGAGATTTGCACCAAGATGCATGAGATGGATAGGTTAGAAACGTACGGTTTGAAAGGTGTTGGGTGAGTCGAGTTGGTTCATTCTGTGACTGAGTGAACTTAATAGCTGCATTTTTCTAAAGACATCGAAGATGATCTGCAGCTCCTACAACTCTGTATCACTGTTGAAGGACTGTGCTGGTCTGCCCTCTTAGGGTAGCTCTAATAGAAGTTTAAATTGAAAACTAAAAGGGCACCTTTGAAACACTATTTTGTCCACTTTTGTTAATACAAAATGCATAAACTCCTTGTTACTTCAAACTTACAGCCGTTTCGCTCCAATATACAATTGAGGGAAATAGAACTGTTAAACTGTAAGGGCGTAACCTGTGTGAATTCCGGAAAATCTGTGTTTTCGAGGAAGGTGGTGTTTGCTGTTCTTGACCGGGCTCAAGTGCCCCGTGAGGTGACAGTTGTGCTGGGTGTTGACCCTACCTTTTCTCTGCTACGTTTCAGCTGCTGTTAAGAATTAATTGGGCAGAAAGGCAGGAGTGTCCCAGCCCAGCAGGAGTTTGGCCCTGGACTTCTTGGTAATCCTCTCCTTGGCACCCTGCAAGCTGCTCTGTGGATAAGAGGATAATTTTTCCTGGCTTTTGGGTTGTTTGGGGGAGGAAGGTGTTAGGGTTTTGGAATAAAGCCGTGCTCTATTCGGTTCCGAAGCGGTTTGTGTGCCCTGCTTGCCGGCGCCCGGTCCCAGGAACGGGAGCAGCTTCCATGGGATCCTGAGCACGGCAGGGCTAGTCCTTCTCCATGGCATGTGCCTCTTGCTCTCCCCAAACTGCTTGCTTCACCTTTATAGGAATTTAAAGACTTGTAAATTGGCCTTTCCGTCTACCAGAGAAGTTTCACCTTAGTGAAAATCCCACCTTTTCCTTTATGCTGCGCAGCAGGCAAAGCAGGAGGACAGGCCCAGGCGGTTTAGCTGCCATCCCTGCATTCAGGTACTTCACGTGACTTTAACTCAAGTACGTGGTGCTCGCTGGGCACCCGTGGGTGCTCTGCTTGGGTGAATGGAGCTGTCACCTGCGAGGTGGCCCCTGTTTTGCTGGGCAGCAGCACGTCCTCGAGCTGCCTGCGCGTTGCCCGTAGCTGATGCGGGATCAGGAGACCTGAGCCGCGTGGCGATGCCCCACACGTAGCCTGCGGTTCTGGGTAAGATTAGAGCAACTTCCCTGGCTTCCCAGCATAGTGCTGGCTCTGAAGGTCCCTGGGCAGCTCCTGGAAGTGACGGTGTTGGATCTTCTGGCAGAGCACGCACGGAGCTGCATCGTGTTGAACTGGCTGCTCCTGCAAGGCCATCCCAGAAGACCCAGCCAGACTAATCCATGCTCTAGACCCTGCTCACTGTGCTGGGGCTGGTAGGATCGGCTGGGCTGTCCTTACGCCTTGCAAACGTGTTCCAGCTCAGTGGATCTACAATTAAATGAAGACTTCCCTTGGAAAAGGTGAAAAGTTGATCATTTGTTTCCTTGTTGGCTACTGTGCAATCAGCTGCTGCGTGTTTTGTAGGTGCATCTACAAAAACCAGTGGTCAGTTTCTAGAATAACCACATGAGCTGTTTGCTCATTTCCACTGGGCTCTGCAGATCTCAGAAGATCTTTGGCTAAGACTTACCAAAATTGCAGCCTCTCAGCACGGGCAGGTAAAGACCCACAGCAGTAGCAGGAGCTCCTTGTACTTCACCCAGAAACCTTCTGCAGAAATGAATGTCTTTAATTGTAAAGGCTTTTCATGGTCTTCCTTTGCGCTTTGGGTAATCAGCGTTTCAAGATGCTGCTTTGAGAAGATCCTCGAGGTGTTTTTCTCCTTTTTTTTCCCCTGAGTTGTAGCCAACTTTAGGCCCTGAATCCATAAAGCAAGAGGAAATGTAAAGCTGAAGTAACACTATCCTGTTTTAAACTTTCTTAAACTAAAAATGTGGAGTAGGAGTGTATCAACCATAACATGTTCTCAGCCTTTGCTATTTCGTGTGACAGAGCCCTCGTCAACCCCTCCATGTGTATTGCCCCGAATAAGCATGGAAGAGAGCAAGTGTGTATATATATATTTAAATGTAGGTGTTTCCGGTGCTCCCTTTTAGTGCAAACCTACCTGCCCTGTGCAATGCAGGACAAACTGCTTCAAGATTTTACTGCTGCTCTTCGCTGCCCTGGCAGCTTGTTTTGAGATGGGTTTTCCAGGCAGTTCTCGGCGAGGGCCCTTGCCCTCGCGGCGCTCGTGTGACTTGTTCCAGCAGGTTTGCTCTGCTCCCCAAGCCGGGGTAGTTTTGGTGTATGCGCTTGCATGTTTTAGCAAACTGGCAAGTGGCTGCAGTCTTTCTATTTAAAGAACTAGGATATTTTTTTTCCCCCTCTGAACTCTCCTTGGATCCAGAGATTACGAAAGGAAAATGTTCTTGATAAGCTGCAGCTTTCTGTGTCCCGAGCGCAGCGCCTGCCTCCACGGCCCTTGTTTACCCTGTGCAACTTTGCAGAATCTCTGCAGCGAAGACGTTTTTCCTGGAAAAAAAACAAATCCCGGAGCCTTTGGAGCCGAGTGCCGAGACAGGCACTGACAAATGCGCGAGGCGGGGCGGCCTCCTCGCCGCCTCCCGGGAATGCCAGGGCAAATTGTAACTGAGCACAATTAGAGGCCTCGCGCTGGACGGCGGCCCTCGCCGGGACGGGAGCGTGTCCTGTGCGCGCCTCCGAGCAGCGGGAACGCGTTGGAGGGAGCGGTTGGCCGTGGAATTTTCTAGTGTTTTCTGTCGTTAATTCGCGGGAGGTGTTTTGCCAGGGATCCTGGTGCTTCCATGGGTTTTTGTAGGAGCCTGAAATTTTGCCTGTGAGAATCCAGACGGATGCGGGCATGCGTGCAGTTTCCAGGGATAGCAGCTCTCCCTTGGTTCACCGCTCCACGCAAGGCACTAAAAGACCCTTCTCCCCTTCCCCTGTGATCCCGTCGGGGCTTGGAGCAAGGCCTGCCGCCGCGGGCAGAGGTTCGGCCCGTTTCTCCCGTCCATCCCATCAAGGTATCGGCTGGAGCCCAGGATCTGCCGAGAGGAAAGCGGCAGCTTTGCGGCGGGCGAGCCGAGGCCTGCGCGCGCGGCCGGCCTGGACGTGGAGCACCCGTTCGCTGCAGGGATTCCCGTATCCTCCGGAGGGGCCGAGCCGCCTGCTCGGTTGTGCTGCCAGCTCCCGGGGCTCGTTCTTCATCCTGAGATCTTCCCGTGCCCACGTTGTGTGGGGACCTGCTTGCTGACACCAGCCTCTCACAGCGGGAAGGAGCGATCCTCTCCAGTAAACAGGGCTAGGGGATCTTCAGCAAAGAAGCTGCAAGGCCGTGGTGGCTACTTGGGAATTAGAGGTGGTTTGTGTGTGTGTTGGGCACGTGCTCAGGCCCTGCCATGTGTCCTGTTCTCTGCATGGGGAGCTGGGGTCAAGTGAGTGGCTGAGGGAAGGTTTCCAGCCAAGCTTCAGCTCTGTGTAATATCTGCTATGAATTCCATAAGTTTTGCCCAAATGTGGTTTTCGGGAATCGTCTTTGATCCGTGGCGGATGAGGCCCAGGCGGGTGTTTCTTCATCACAGCACTTGGCACACCGCGTCCCCACAACAAGCTCAGAGGAACGATTGGGCCTCCAGAACGTCAGAAAAGTCTGAAGAGGATATGGCCGGAAACTGAAGCACCAAAAGTTCCACAGGAACTTAAGGAAAAATTTCTTAACAGTGAGGGTGCCAGAGCCCTGGAACAGGCTGCCCAGAGAGGTTGTGGAGTCTCCTTCTCTGGAGATCTTCAAACCCGCTTGGACGCAGTCCTGTGCCACGTGCTCTAGGTGACCCTGCGTGTGCAGGGGTTGGACTAGATGATCTCTAGAGGTCCCTTCCAACCCTAAGCATTCTATGATTCTATTCTATTCTATGATTCTAAGAGGCAGCAGTCCTGTCCGCTCACCGAAGGGGCTCCTGAGGGTTGGAATGGAGCCTCCTGCCTTCCAGCCACGCTTCCCTGTGGCTGGATGTTGCTGGCTAAAATTTGGACATGGCCGAGGCCCGGCAGTGCGGGTAGATCCCAGCCGGAGCCGAGCTGGGCCTGCGAAAAGCTGCGCCTAGATTTGCAGCTCCAGTTGCCTAACGTTGGGAAGGGAAATACGTCAGGGTTGCCGGGACGACTCGGCTCTGTCACTTCCCCTGCTGTCAGCTGCGACTCGCGCCCGCGCCGTTATTTTAGTGTAGTTATTTTTTTCATTTACTTGGAGATTTGGGTGTCCCCTGTACGTGAGGTGTGTTAGACCATTGCAGCAGATGCACTTCTTGCTGGAGAGCTGTGTGCTAGTGTGGGAAAGCTGGGAGTAGGGGAGCCTTCCTGCTGTGACCCGGCAGCAGCCGTGGGTCCCATCCCGGTGTCGAGAGCCGCTCCATGGAGTCCCTTGTGCTCCCCCAAGTTTCTTGCTTTTTGCTCATTCCTTCACCAATGCCAGACGTTCCCTTCTCTCCTTCCCTCCTGGCGGTTGACCCCCCTGGGAGCAAGTTCGATATGTTAAAGCAGGCAGGAAAAAGGGATTTTCAAGGAGGGGATAGGGCCCCTTTTGGGTTGGTTTGGCTCTCTGAACCAGCTTATAGTTGGACAAACGCTTGTGGCAGTGGGAGGCAGGCTTAGGAGATGAGGAAGGAAGGAGAGAGACAGCAATTACCTGTTTCTACAGGTATTAGCCATTATGTCACTTTAACAGAAACATGTAAAAGCACTTTGAGACTCTGCACGGAGTGAAAGTTCTGGGCTTCCCATGTCTGTGTTGCTGTGAATGCCAGCTTGATTTCAAGATGTCTTGTTTCAAGCTTCTTTTCAGCCAAAAGACTTGAAAATAGGTTACTAAAACTTCCATTTACGATGCCAGAAGTGATGGTCCCTTTTCTTCAAGCTTTGGTGCCCCTGAAAGGCCTGCACTCCAGCAGTGTCATCACAACAGGGGACTTAAAACCTGGCCGTAGCCATAAGTGATACCTAGCAGCAAATGGAATCTGAAATTCAGAACCTATTGGATTAAAGTGCAGGTTCAGTAAAGGGAACTGAGAATACGGTGGTTGTACAACTCCTAGCCTGTGCTGTGGGTGTCAGAGCCCTTCCTAGTGGCACTTGGTGACAAAAGTTCAGATCTTTTTCAGAAGAATGAATGTGGAACATGGGACAACCTACTGTTTGTTCTTCCGCTGCTGCAGCAGCTTCTATTTGGCTTCAGCATTCACCTACAGGAGAGAGAAATCTTTGGAAATCAAAGCAGCAGCTTTTTCAGGAGATGAGCAGCAGTCTGGATAATTTTTCTTAAAATTTGAAGGAGGAAAGGAAAACTAGGGGGCAGGCAGACATGCTGTGTAGCTATTGCTATAAAGAACTCAAGCCATGGGACTGCACAGGGATAATGGATACAGAAAAGGCCTTGGGGGGCTCTGGCAAGAGCCCGGAATCCTTGGATACTCATCCCAAGCAGCCACGCGCTCTTCTGCAAATCCTCGTCGGCAACAGATCCAAGAAGAGCCCAGGCAGAACAGCTCTCGCCTTTTCCATGACGGCTCTCCCCTCTCCCTCTGTTGTTTATCTGCGTCTGCTTCATTTTAGGACAGCGCTTTTGGCGAGACGGACAAAATTAGCCCAGTAAGGACTTGTCAAAGAGGAAAAGGGTGGGGAAAAGGAAAGCACCAGGCAGGAAAGAACTCTGTGGAGAAGTGGTGGAAAAGGGTGATAAAAGCACAGCTCACATGGCTCCAAATTCAGATGGCATGCACAAAATCTGCTGTAGCCTGTTCAGTTTGTATGAATCACAGGTACTCTTGGATCCCTGTGCTACCAGTGCAGCACCTTTAACTGTGCAGTTTGGCCATCTGCACAAATCAGATGCAAATGTTAAACAAACCACGGTGCAGATCTCAGTGGGGACTTGTGATTCCTGGTTGCTGGTTATGAAGTACCGGGGGGTTCTCAGCAAAGCTGCAGGCTGCAAATTTGGTTTGGTAGTGGTATGCAGATATGTTAGCTTGCAGTTTGTAACAAAGTGAAAAAGGAGGAGAGTGGAAAGGGCCAGGAATATGTGCCCTGCCGAGTGGAAAGGTGGGAGAGGCCGAGGGGCATGAACAGTGTGGGAGTGCAGAGTCTGCTTGAACATCCTACCCCCTGGAGATGCACACGGAGAAAAACATCCCCTCCTTGCAGAATGGGGCTGGCAGCTTCCAGGCTTGCCAGGACTCCTGCTCCATAAAGTAGCAGTCTTGTTTTCTCTTCTGGGAATAAAGATGGTAGTGGGAGGGTGCTAGTTGTATTGATATCTTCACCCTTACTACTTACTGCAGAGAGCCATTGCACTCCTTGCTGGTGCTGTCCGTGTCCGAGCTGAACTAGCAGGTTTTGCATGGGTAGATCTTTGTGACAGTTTTCTTCTCTAGGTAGTGTCTTAATACCTTTATATCAGTGTGGGAAGTATCATGTTAAGTCCTCATATTTTGTATGTTTTTTTTTTCAGAACTCTATTAGACATAACCTGTCCCTGCACAGCAAGTTCATTAAAGTTCATAATGAAGCCACAGGCAAAAGTTCCTGGTGGATGCTCAATCCTGAAGGTGGCAAAAGTGGAAAAGCTCCAAGAAGAAGAGCTGCCTCCATGGACAACAGCAGCAAACTTGCAAAAGTCAGAGGTAAAGCATCCAAAAAGAAGGCTTCTCTACAGTCCACTTCAGAGGCCACTGCTGACAGTCCTGGTTCCCAATTCCCTAAGTGGCCTGGGAGCCCGTCCTCAAGAAGTAACGAGGACTCTGATGTGTGGAACACTTTCCGGCCCCGAACCAGTTCCAACGCAAGCACCATCAGTGCCAGGCTGTCTCCTATCCTGACCGAGCAGGATGACCTGCATGACGAAGAGCTGCTCCCTTCCCTGGTGTACTCCAGCGCATCCAGCAACGTCCCGCCAACGGTGACCGAGGAGCTCGAGCTCATTGATGGCTTAAATCTGATGTCTCCCAGCTCGTCTGTGCTCTCCAGCCAGCAGTCTGCCTCGAGTGGTCCAATCCAGAGAGATTCCAGCTTTCCCTTGCGGAGCCCGAACGCAGCTGGTCAGACGGCCACTTTTGGCAATTCCCTGTTCAACCCTGTCGACATGTCGCTGCAGAGCTCCGTCGGCCACTTCTCCGGCCCCCAGACCTTGGAGGCTCTTCTGACCCCCAGCTCTCCTCCTCCGAGGGACGTGATGATGACTCAGGTGGACCCGGTTCTCCCGCAGACCGGCAGCAGGATGAGCAACCGAACCCTCCTGCTGCTAGGTGGGCAAGCTGGCCAGAGCAAGATGAGCCCGGGGAACCCCCGAGGAAAGCCTGCGGAGCAACAGGCAGAGCCAGTGGGCACCAGTGTTTTGCCATCAACACTTCCCATAGCAGCATCTCCTCAGAACACTGCCAGCATGGCCAGTTTGAAGGCTCCAGTTTCTGCAGCAGCTGCCCAGGCAGTCCAGCTGGGCACTCCCCCGCCGCTCTTTTCTTCTGCTAGCCCCGTTTCCGTGGGATTCAACCAGGACAGGCTGCCCACTGACCTGGACATTGACATGTACATGGAGAACCTTGAATGTGATATGGATTACATAATCAACAGTGACCTCATGGATGGAGAAGGACTGGACTTTAATTTTGAACCCATTCTATCTACTCCCAGCTATCCCAGCACCTCACAGGCCTCCAACCATACCTGGGTACCAAGTTAACTTCAGGAGCACAAAAAGGTAGGTGTAATTGAGGAAAATTCTGCCCTGTAGCAGGAGCTGTCCTGTCTGGGAAGCTTTCTGGGTCCAACCACGCTAGTAAAATAAAGGTACCTCTTTGGAGTGCAGGTGCTTTCTGAGTAAAATGCTTCTGAGTGCGTTGTAACATCTCAGAAGGAGAAAATGCTGTGCCAAGCTGTGTGGATTTAATTTACTGGGTAGTGACGCTGGTGGGTTGGAGCAGCAATCTGAAGGAAGCTCCTTTTGTCTTTCATTGCTAAAGATAACTGCTCTGCAGGGCAGCAGTGTCTTCCTGTGATGCTTACATGGATTTCACATGAGAGCACCTGCTGATTCCATAAGGAAAGAAATTCTATACAGAAGAGTTTAACTGAGCAAGCCTTAGTGGGTTTCTCTCCAGATTACAGTTAGGCCTGTACAATTTTCTAATACATGCAGTTACAAAATATGCCTGTCGCATGTCTGCCTGCTCTGTGCTGCATGCAGCAGGGCACAGTCTCCCTGGTGCTGGATCTTCTGCCCTTCCCAGGCATCCAGGAGAGCAGCTGTGAAGTCTGGGAAGCCTCTTGGTCACCTTGGCTATTGAATTGCTTATGCAGCCATTGGAATGGCAAAGGGAGAGGAAACGGGAGAACGAGGTGCCGATGGAGATGGAAGGAGGAAGGCTGTTAGAGCCATCATCTGCTTTAGCTAGCAGTAAAGCTCCCTCTTTACTCATCTTTTGCATCTCCACAAAGCTTTCTAGAATTGGCTTGGTAGATAATATATAGGAGAGCCAGAGGTAAAAATGCCTTCTCTAGGGGTTTGGCACCCTCGTAAACAGGTAAATAAACATCCAGCTGTACCTCTTTATGCACTGAGGCAGTCGAAGAATTGGAGAAACGGAATCAGCGCCGTGTTTTACTCTTGGAGCTCAGTTAGCTAACAGCAAATGGGCGATTTCTTTCATGGACAATGGCACCGATGGGGTATTGGTTGGAGAGTGGAAGCCTTACCAAGACTATCTCCTGTTTAGAAGGCATTTATGATATTTGTTAGTGTTGCAAATTCAACCAATAATAGCATCCAGCTGAGCAGAAATGAGGACAAACTGCAGATACTGCCTCAGGTGCAGGGAGCTCTCGAGCTTCAAAATGATGGAGGCTGAGGAAATGCTGATAAATATTCATGTACTTAACCTCCATACTCTTCCCAAGGCACCTGAGCAGCTGGAAGGTGGTCCGGATTTGAGTAGGAGCTGGGTTAGGTGACCTCTGGGAAGTTCCTTCCAACTTAAAATTTCTTGGGATATCTATTGCTGTTGGACATGCCGGATACTGAATATTAGTTGAATATTTCTGTTCTGCCTCAGTGCAGCCATCCCAGAGGGGAGCCCAGGTCTAGACCCAGTGAAACGCTGTCCCTTGAGCTGTGGCACTCTGAGCACATTGCTCCTGCAGTGCTGCCATGCACTGATGCCCTGTCCTAGATTGCTTTTTACGGTCTGGTGCCTTTCTCACCTGTGAGCTCGTTGGGTTACTGAGTAGCTGTCTTGAGCTGTGAGTCTTCACTTCAGGTTGGGTATGGAAATTTAGTTTTGGTTTCAGAGACCAATTCTATTGACATCAGTGTTGTTCATCTGCGTCTACACTGAGGTTAGTGCTAGGGGCTGTGGCTTTGCAGCGCCGTTTCCATGGGATGTTCTGAGCATTTGTGAATCTACATCCTACCCTGGCCCAGGCATCACACGTGGGAATGCCTTCGTTCTGCAGGTCAGGTGTTTTTCATGGTCTTGTTTCCAAAACATTTGGATGTTCTATAACGTCCTGTGGTTCCAGCTGCACTGGTGCCCTGTGTTGTATACATAAGACCTCTGCCTATAGAATTCCAGGTGTGTGTGTGTATATATACTTATATTAAGGAGATAAAATGGAGAAGCTGAAGGAATGCTCATCAGAGTATCTAGTGCTGGTAAAAACATGGCTATAATTCAAATGCTTGGGAGAGAAGATGAAATTATTAACAGGAAATGTGTGTGCTAGAGATGTGCTCACTAATAGAGGAGTGAGAGCTGGAAAAAGTTCTGAAACACGATTGTTTATCAGCAGAAAGTGCAACTCCTACAGTTCTTTGAACAGTTTTAAGCAGTATCGCTCTCGAAGTGACGATGACCCTGTTCAACACAGGAGATTTTTTTTTTTTAAGCCTTGTTTTCTGTCCTTGGATTATCTTTGCTTTTGGTGTTTGACGAAGCTTTTGAGGTTTATCTGTGTCCTGGAATCCCTGAGGTGGGTGGGAGGGAGTGTTTCTCCCAAAACAGAGCCGCTCTCGTGCAACCTGCTGCTAGGACAGAGGTGGTCGGGATTCTCGGAAAGGGGGAGCAAGTGGTAAGTGGGGAGAAATGGAAAATATTCCCATCAGGAAAACTGGGAAAAAGGCAGAATCCAATTTAGAAGCTATGGAGAATGCAATGAACTTCAGGCATAAGCATCTGGGAAGAGGTCAAGGTGGTGCCATCTCCTCTCTGAAGCCGTTGCTGTGATATTGATGCTGTGTTTAATATTAGACTCCGTGTCTGGAAAATCATCGTTCAGGAAGGACGAGACTGTCCCTACTGCTGCAGCCTGGCAGGCTCTTTCCTGCTGTATCCTCCTTATGAAACTAAGCCCACACAGACAAAAGCTCCTGTAAATTTTCATTAACTTAAAGCCACCTTTTGAGTAGTCCCTTGCTAGCTTAGTGTGTATCCTCCTGAGCTGAATTTGGGGTATTGCACTTAAGAGTTAATAAACGGTGGTGCTCAGGCTCTGGCTTGAATAGCTGCAGTGAATTTGGAGCTGGGGAAGTCTTTCCCTTAGTAGGCAAGAGAAGGTCTTTTAAAATAAAAACTGCAGAGCTTGAGGGCCTGCCTGGTGCTGGTTAAAGCCCTGGATGCTCAGGTAGCAGAGCAATGGCCCCGGCGAACAAGGTGGTGGGAAGAGCAGCGTAGTCGCAGGCGCTGCCTGTGGTTGTGTGTGTTGTGCAAACCTGGGGCAATAAGCGTGTCTTTTATGTCCCCTAAGTGTCAGGAGGGAAGCGTGGGTGGCCGTGGGCTTCCTCCGAGAGCTCGGCGCCTCCAGCTTGGCCGTTTGGTCGCGCGTCGCGCGGCTGCGCTGGAAGCCAGGGAGAGGAACGCCAGGGAACGCACGGCCTCCCCATGTGTACACGGCCTCGCCATGGCGCGGGTTGCGCCTCCAAGCAGCACCGAGGCCGTCTGTTCCACGGGCCTCCAGCAGAACAGCGTTCTCGGGATGTTCCCTCAGACCCACCAAGGCTCCCGAGCCTGCAGGGCCCTCTGTCCTTCCCTGACCACCTCAGGACCCGCTGTCATCTTTGCTCTTGTTGCTTTTGGTCCCAGCACCGTTTCGTCCTTCCAGGAAACAAAGAACCCCTCAACCATTCACAGCTTCCCAGAGTAGCCTGTGTCAGAGTGTTAAGTTGTTTAGCTAAGGGCTAATTCCCCATCATCTGGCTGCTTTTCGCCATTTTTTTTCACATTCATTTGTCCTATTGCTGGATGCAACCAAGTTGGTGCCCTATATTTATCTCACTATTCTGTTTCCAAAGCAGATCATAGGCGCCCAGCAGAGGTTTTATGTCAGCATCTTAAATCTGCTTAGACCTATTCCAGGGCTTACTTGAAGGAGCTGCAGCTGCTGCTTTGCCCCTGTAAGCTGCCTGTAACCAGGGTGAGGCAGAAAGCCTGAGAAGGGATTTCTCCTGAGCTTTGGGGCAGGATATCTGGAAGTATTTACTTATGTGTAGGTAGATAGGGATTTCTTTAAGTGGTTGATCATGTAAACCGTTCTTCTAGCGTGTGGTCTCTAAAAACCCCATAGTTTTTTTTCCTACCTGTTCGTGTTTGCGGCTGCTTGAGGGGAAGAGCAAAGTTGCTCTTCCCTGCAGTGCTGCTGGCGCTGGCCAAGTCCTCCTTTAAACCCGCTTATCTTGCAGCGCTTCAGTGGTGCCATCAGCTTATAGGAGGAGTACTTACTTCTAACCTTTGTGTTTTTGTTGTGTCTTCCTGTTTAAATTGCTCTCCGAAGTTCGGAGCTGAGCAGTTGCATCCTCCACTTGACTTCCATCCATCAAGGTCTGTTGGGATCTGTGTTTGTTCCCCACTGGAAGAAGACATCCTTTGAGGAGCACGGGGCTGATTGATAGCAATTAATCCCTTATCTGGCCATCCAGGATTTCCCGTGAAGCTGAGATCTAACCGTCCACTCTTTGTCTTTTTCCTAGTGTCCTTCAGGTTTTGAACATCGGGTTCTGACTTCGCTTCCCACCCCGGCAGAGAAAAGAACGGAGCATGTTGGATACAGCTTCCCTGCACACCACTCCTCGGGCAGAAGGGGCTGCCTACCTGGGAAGAAGGGGGCAACCTGCACCTGGCTGCGACAGGAAGAGTTGAAAAGTAATAACCTGTTACGTGCCACATCTCTTCCTACAAACCTGACCTTGCCTTGGACGCTCTGGGGAGACCCGTGTCCAAAGAGGAGACCTGGTAAAAACCCTCGGCCAGAGTTTTCTGTGCCAGGCAATAGCGTTTCCCCATGCGGAGAGTTGCTTGTTGGAGGAATCTCCCTGGCTGTCCTGTCCCTGCTGTGGCAGGGAGTCTCCCAGTGCCTCGGATGGGCAGGGAGCCGACCCGCGCCCCGCTCCGCTTGCCCTCTGGGATGAAGTAGTTGGACGTTTGCGTGAAGCCACCAGATGTGCGCTTGGAATCCCACAGATGTGCAGAGGACTTGGAAACCTCGCGGAAGGCGGCTGTGCTGTACCGGGGGGCTGGCGTCAGAGGCTCCGGGGTGCCCTGCTCCCTGGCACCCGTCGTCACCGTGCAGGGAAGGGCGGTGCGGACGTCCCTCCTGTTCGTCCGAGCAGGCCGGGACGGTGCCCAGCTGTGCCAACAGAGCCCCTCTGGATCAGAAGCGCCTCTAGAGAAGTCCCCGTGCTGTCCCCAGCACCTTCCTGCCACGCCAGGCTGCTGGCACGGGTGCTAACAGCCGTTGGGGGACATCAAAACATCATCTTGGGTTTGTTTCCGAGCTGTCCTGCTGCAGCAGAGACGTGGAAAGCCTGGGTGTGGCCTTAACAGAGCCCTGGTTGCTTTTCAGAAGGGCATTTTCTATAGATGAAATATTTTTTTACTAATCTGGGAACTTTCTACAGTAAATATGAAGCCAATGTTAAGTGTGTCCCCATTAGGCATCTCTCCCTCTGAGAAAGGTACAGGCGACAGGCTTTTTTTCAGAGCTGTATTAGGAACAAATACATTTGATGTTTGATAATGTATATGATTGAGGGGAAAGAATTGGCACGTCCCCGCAGTTTAAAACCACCTTGGGGAAGGGTTGTACATTATTGTAATCTATATGTAAAAGTAGCTGCAAATTACATAGAAGCTTTTCTAAACCTTTTTAAATATATATTATATATTTTAATTGAAAATGAGATTATTGGATAAAAGCACATTTGCTGCATCTGTCCCCTTGATACCGGATAACACTACAGTATGGGAGGGGACAGACCCAGGGCATTTCGGGCCAGGGAGATGAAGGTGTCATTGGAAAAGTGGGAAGGGCAGCGCAGTGTGCGTGGAGAAAAGCTGCTCTGCCCGGAATAGGCGGAAGGTGCCGGCGTGTGTGGCCGGGCATCCAGCCCCGCTCCGCTGGCTGCTCCGTGGAGCCAAGAGCACGAGGTTAGGGAATGCTAATCATTAACTGTGCGCTCATTCCCAGCTAATCCTCTAAGTAGCTGGACTGCAGCTGATGCATCGGGCATGGATTCCCTGGTCTAAGAAGGTGCCAGGCCTGGATGGTGCTGGATCCGCTGACGCTCCGGACGCTGTTGGGTGTGTTT